GAAATCTCTTAAATGAGTCGTTCATTTTTGACTGTGGCGCGGTTGTATTATGAATAATGATGTATATGTTATGTACTTAGTTACACATGTGCGAGGTTTCTTATGTATATAGGACCCATTTGGGCTGCCGCTGTACCGTACATTTCTAAGAAACACCACAGTACAGCACACGGTATGGTCACACTATACTATGTGTGTATACTGCATGGTATGTCAGTTATGCCATTGCATGTAACGTCACTTTAGTGTAACGTCACGTAACTTATACATACAGTGCAGTGGTGTTACACACTAGCGGATATGATATATTTAGTTGTAGATAAATATCACTGTAATGCTACTCTGCCATAAGTAGCTGTATGAACGCAGTAGTATGATACACATTTGCTTATGTAATGCATGTGCAATTAAAAGTATGATGTGCTACTGTAGTAGCACTTCACTGTATATATTCATGCGTACATGGTAGATCGGTATTACGCATGGTATGCGTATGTACTGTGTATGCGTGTACAATGTGTGTACCGTCAACGACCTCGTTACAAATATTAGTCGAGTTTCACCACTCTTCTTGGTGTTCTGTCCTTTGTTTCCACCGTTTACCGAGCAGCTTCGTCGTTGGGTCCTTCCAGCGTGTTATTGGACGACCGAGTGGACGTCTGTTGCCGAGGGGGATAAAGTTATTAATTCGGATATCCATCTGTTGTCCCTCAAACAAGCCGTCAACGTTGCTAGTCCATCATCCCGTCGATGACGGCAGGGGTTACATCCAAAATCATGTTTAGCAACTAGCCGTTTTACTTAGAACGTGATCTCAAAGTATGATCCTGCGTATTCTTTCACTGTCTCTTTGCGTGATTATTAATTTGTTTTGTTCATCCTTTTTGGTAGATCAGGACTCCGTAAGATAAATTATTGCAGGTAGGACAGCGGAGTCGAACAGTTCTTTTTTTCGATTTCCAGCGATGTTTTGATGTGATTGAATCTTGCCCATGATACCTTTCTTTTTTGTTGGTCTCGCCGTTAATATTGTTATTTCAGTACTGTTGTATGCTACCAGTACTGTGATATGTACGTATAATACTTTTTATGATACACTGGTACTAATAAGTGTTTACTATGTACTAATATAACTAGTATGTACTGGTAAGCATGTGAACAAGAACTAATTATTCCAAAAGGAATTTTAAGGCGTATTGCACCTTTGGCTTGGTTATGAATGCCTTTGGATCGCTGCTATGTTAGACGTATCTTGCATCATTTTATTGACTTCGGTAATACATTGCTCGTTACTAGCGGCGTTCCAGACGTCGATGCTTCTCTTATGTTGTCTGGCCAGCTTTGTACGATAATCATAGGAGATAAGCGAGTTACTATCACAATTAAGGATACTAATCTGTATTCTTGGCTTTTTTTAATGCCGGTGAAACTGATGCTTTTGTATGTTTAAGTAGCATACACATCTCTGCAGCTATTCGAGTGAGGAAGATGATAAGTAAGATGAATGGCTGAGCGTGATTTTGAAAGGTATTCAGTTACGATATTAAGAAGTATATAACAACGAGAGTTATAACGAAAATGTACTAAAATGGTTAACTGGCATAATGACATACAACAGATGTGCGACAGATAATGACAGCAGGAAGCAGTAAAACGATAGGTCAGTCGCAAATTATCTTGAACAGTTTTGCACCCTCCTCCCCCACGTTATTTGAGGACTGACAGTGTCATTACTTATGTCATTACCTTTTCGTCGAGGGTCACGATGCGTTATTCGTAGCTTGTTGATCGTCAGCGTTGGAAGTGTTGATTAAAACTGAGCTAAGTTTAATAATTTAGTCGCTTCACTTGTTTGTCTCGTTTCGAGGAGCCGTCGGCTGCATGTCGTCACGTATCCAAGCTATGATGGTGACAGCGA